ATGATTAATGTTTCCCCCCACAGGTTTGGTTGGGGCCCAAAAAGACATTGCTTTACGAGTGAACAATCATTTATTGCTAAGCATCAGCGCCTGCACCTGCCCTGAGCGCTAAAATGAAGCAACTTGTTTTTCCTTTCCTTGCTGCCGTAGGCCTCAGCACGCCTTTCGGGAAACACTCGAGCTGTCGCTCCCGTTTGCTTGGGCTGGGCCTCGGCCTTGCATAGCCTGGTTAGCTCCGCGGTCCCTCCGCTATCCTGATAGTCAAGTACGGCGTTGACTCGGGGGCTTTTCTGCCTCTTGCCGCAAAATTCAAAAGGGAACATTAGAGAAACCACACAGCAGGTTTTAGCCAAAGCCCCAGTAACCACAGTTAAGGCACACATCCTCTTCATCTCGCGCAGCCGGTGTTTGCCAGCCCACGCTTCTCCCCCGCTCCGCTTGCTGGCTGCCTCTGCAGGTGGTCGGACCGCAGGGAGCGCCTCGGGGGGCAACTATCTCGTCCTTTACGGCGCCCTCGTCTTAGTTAGAGGGAGCGAACGGAACAGCTCCCCTGCCTCTGGATCAGGTTTGTAACTATGCCCAACGAATAAAACAAATAAACAGAGGCTTTAAGGAAACTGTACTTTAACACATCACATAAATGTTTAATCGGGATATAGGCAGTTTCTGCTAAACAAAGTCAAACAATACATTGCTCAATGTAATTCTTCTTACTTGCTTGTTTTGTCCTCTTGAAGATGTCCTTGAGCAAATGTCTGTCAGATTGGGGCTTGGCGGAAGAAGGCGGCGAACAGCTGCTTCTCCTTCAACATGGCCAGCTTCCATCACGCAGGTCCAGTCTTGCGCGGCCGTTGCTTCTTGGTCTAGAGGAGGGAGCTTCTAACGTCAAGAAATCTAATTATCTCACATATGGCGGGCCAGGGTTTTTCCATGGGAAAACGCATCTTGGGCCATTAAAAAACAAGGTTGGATGCTTTATGATGAAAAAGCTGACGGCTCAAACTGCTACGCTGGGAGAA